TGCCATTGGATTGCAGAGAGACACAGGATTGGCTGAGGCCAGGTGGTCCAATATGTCTGCGCCCTAATCCGACGCCACAACACCACATGTTTATAAAAGTGGGGATTCAGTCCATTTCGCCCTAAGCTTTTGTTATATTTTTTACCCTATATCCACTACTTATGATTTTTTAACTTTCACTCTTACATTATGAGTGATTTAGGTAGCCCCGCGTAAATCTTGAATTCCACCCACTAAACGTTGTGACTTGCAATTTACAATTATGTTTTTTGCCTAAAATATTTCTTGATTTGGCCTGCTTTTTAACTAAGTGACGTTCTAGGGGAGGCAGCTAAAGTGTGAACATCAATGGTGAACAGTAAAATTAGTAAATTTGTGACGTATGAATGTAGGTGGTTTCCTTTTATTTTATCACCTCCGTATGATTCCTTTTTTATGTTTTTCCTTTTGTGTTTATGTATGGTTAGATTGATAAATAAACTCATCAGACAGTTCACCTTTTTTTAAGTGCTCGAATGTGGCTAAGTAGATCCTATGCTCTTGGTCTTGGCCGTATAATTATCCTTTTACTGCGTTTCTTTTGTATTTGTGTTTGCTCATTCTATTTTGGAGTTAATCCATCTTTGTATTTTACCTACACTTCGGTAGTTTTTTTTATATTTTGATATATAATTACTCGTGGATAAACCCTCTTCATGTATTACAAATCGGCCGTCTTGATCTGTGACTTTCGTTTGATCGATCTATTTTTAGAATATTTGGTTTTTTGGTTTTATTAAGTTTTAGTGGGCTGTGTATGAGTGTCGTTTAGAAATTCATGCACTGTTTCTCAAGAGTCTATTTCCCGTATTACTTAACGAACATTCACTTTTGTCCACGAAACTGCAGCCTTTATAAAAACTGACTTGATCTCACGCCCATTTTCTTTACTATACATAATTTGAATGCTTACAGTATTTTTACCTTTATCACGCAGAGTGCTGTTAAGGCAGTTGAGTTGGCTGGTGTTATCTACTGCACCTTTGAAAACGTCAGGGGTTCCATAATTGATTGCCAGTATCCTGCCGGCTATATTTCTAGTGACAAGTTCAAGCGAATCGCCCACGCAGTGATACCGCGCGCCGAGTTAGCCCATCAAGTGGTCACGATCGAGGAGTTCAGCCACATTATAATCGGTTTTCCCCAGCGTATTGAAGGCACCCATTATTCACGAAACATGCTTTTTTTTAATCTTTGCTTCCTAATTCGGCCTCAAAAACGTCATTGTCAGCATGGTGATCTGTCTGGACAGCATTTTCCTTTGGATGTTGAAGGCTTGTGTTGTGGTTTGCAACCTGGCCTGCAGTCAGCCTACGAACTTATTGTCCGTAAAATTAATCGTTACTTGTCATATATGGAGGAAGAGAATGCTGTTCTTTCGCAAGATACCATCAAAAAACCGATTGGAGAAGGCGGTGAAACTGTACTGCATCAATTTCTTCGCCAAATTTTCACAGATCTTCGTGAACAAGGATTATGCGTTACCGGTTTGGGTGAGGACTTGCCTCAGCTTTACCTTCTTGTATGTAATTTTTACTTGAATCGTTTTCCATTAAAGTAGCTTGAGTTGTTTACATAATTGTTGCTGTTGTTCCAACTCCTCTAGTTTTATTTTAGAGTCTTTTAAAAACGTTTTGATAGGTAATGCAATTCCTTTGTACCCATGTATTTTAAGCCGATTTCGAAATTAATTCTATACATTGCTAATTAAAGTAAACCCCCACCAAGTCCCTTTTCTTATGTATGTGACAAATTGAATAATTTTCCTTTCTAAAAGGATTCACTTTGATTTTTATAAAGTGTTTACGAATACCAAATTTACAGTCCATGAGCTGGTTTTATGCCTACTAAACGTCCCTTATATTATCCTCATCGGGTTGACAACTCCATAAATACTCTATGTTTTTTACTTTTCTTAAGTTATTCTAGCAAATTCTCAATTAGGTGTTTGTAAATATAATAAATAACGAATTTGGATTTAAAATTTTGAAGAAACCTCCTCAAAAAGTACCTAATTATGACAAAAGTGGCAAGTATCTGCATGGGCTTCTTAGGCTGCATGGTTTGGTTACTTAAAAAAGGTACTCAAAGAATACGTCTTTACTTTTTTCGAGGTTCGCAAACGGGCAAAGTGGAACTCTAATCTACCTTTCAAAATTTGGTGCTTCTTGACTTAAGTAAATTCACCTACCCTATGGCCGAGTCAGCTCTTTGAATTAAGTCCCTGCTTATTTAGAATTCACCAAACTAAATTATCAAGCCACTTTTTTTGAAAAAGAAAGCTTTTATTCGTTTTTAAACCACGATCACCTGATTATTGCTTTTCTGGACTGAAGTACGCCCTCATTAACATCGCAACACATGTTCATGTTTTTTTCCAAGTTTACCCCAAGGCCTGTAAGCAACTCAGTTTCGAGTTGCTTTGTGCCCTCTGAAGTTGAACCTCCCACGGGTGCAGTGAGAGGCCCTTCCCCTAGCGATAATGCTACACTTGGTGGAACGGACATCTGGTCTCGGGTCCCGTTCCCATTCAATGATGATGCAGCCGCAGTCAACGATGCAACTGTGTTTGTTCTTGTCCGACCCCTGTTGTCCGCAGGCAGCAAGCATGTTGTCTATATGCTGGAGAGAGAAGGAGGAAGCAGCCATTTCTGGGAGGCTGGAGATTTGGTTTCCCGTCGTATAATGACCCTAATCAACGGTGAACGCACTGTTGCCGAGTTGGCACGTCTCGCCACTGTCGATATAAGTATTGCGCGACTTTGCATGGCTGAGTTGGCGCGTATTGGTGCTGTTCGTGCAGTCTCAGCTCCTATTTTTCTCCATCCCACCAGTGTTCAGGGTGACTTAGCGGAGCTGTTTTCAGTGCCTGGCTATGTTGGCCTTCCAAGGTTACTACGCTTAGCAACGGATGAGACTCTAAGGAACGCTTGCTTTGAGTCTGTAGTAAGAAAATGCTTTATCTTCTGTCGTTAATATTTTTGCTCTTTTCTCCTTGGCTCTTACACGGCAATTTTATGTGCTCTCACATTGTAGTCGTGTTGATCAGTGCGATGCAAAAGAGTTTCCCACTGGTAGACTCACCCTCTTTTGGGGTTATGATTTTAACCTTGGTTTTTTTGTTTGATTAAAATTGTCTGTTTCGAATAATGTGTCTATGTAGACCACTTCAGCATCTGACTTAATGATCATGTTGTTTATTGCTCCTGCTCAAATATTCAACCCAATGACCCTCGCACGTCTTAATTTTTTAGTTATCACAATCCACAATTCGTCGGCGCCTTCACGTTGACGATCCGGACCGCCTTATTTTGACAGTTCTCCAGGTGTACTCTAAACTATGTGCTTCATCCTACCTTAGTTTAACCTTTCTCCTTGCTTCCACCCAGCACATCGCAGAGATTCTTGTCTCTCCGTCGTCTAAAGAGTCAAAAAATTCCTCCTTGCCCTGTATTAGCCTTCTTCGCCTCGTACAATTCGGCGAGGTAAACAACTTAATTCACAGGCTCCACTGTTATCCAGTTATTGACGCTCTTGCATCTAAGAGCCCACCTATTAGCGATCCAGCCACATTAGACACCCAGTTGTGGACATATCTCTGTGATCAGATGATGGATGGTGTACAGTCAGTAGATACTTTGGTCTACGAGGCATCCGCCCAAGCAATGAAAGCGATATCAACAACCACCGCACCGGACAAGCGTGCCGTTGGACGTTTTGGTTACGGCTCGGTAGTATCTGTTAGGCCACCTGCAACCACGCTGCCCGACGCCGTAGTTGCCTTCACAGCACGACTTCTAAGAGAGAAGGCGGAAGGAGATAGAAGACAGCCTGATGGGAAGTGCGTTTGGACTACTTGTTTGTCGGAGACAAACTCCAGGGCGTCTCGTGACAAAGCTTCCGATCCTACGACCACTCCGCCAACGAATCGTCACGTAAATTCGGGTGGGCCCTCCAGAAGCAAATGCGATCAACCCTTGCCACTCTCCTATGGCTCTCAGTTGTTCAAGAAAAATCAAGTTATCCACTCAATACATACATTATGGCACTGACCCCGAATTAGTTTTAATTATTATTAATGTACAGTCCCGTTTTCACCAGTAATCATGGATCCGGACACCTCCGGACAAACACTCAAAGTTTGCAGTAGCACTTCTATCAGAACGTTGATTCTCTGTTTACATCAACGATTCTATTTTTGATTGGTCTTTAGTTTCTTGTAATTTTCTTATGAATAATTGCTCACTCCCATTTCTTGCGTTCTTGGTTCGTTCATATTTTGCTTGCCTCCGGTACATAAGTTCGGAACCCTGTCAGTCGTATCATCTGGCGTTTACCTTAAATGGGTCATTCGCGGGTAATAGTGTGGTAAAAAATGTTCATGATGACTTCTTGACTGTGGCCTTTTTTATGATTTATGTGATGTGATGGACGAACCATTGTCGTTAAAACCTGGAAAAAGATGTCAAAGAAACATCAGAAAAGTAATCTGTACCTTCCGTGTTATAATCTGAGAACTTTATTTCCACGCCCCCAGTCGACTCTAGTTAAGAAGTGTACTTAGGGATTTACACACATTCAAAGTGCCAATTCCTTGTCTACATTAATGATATTGTGGATTTATCAGACATTATATGAACACAAGCATTAGTTTGGTGACCACTTGTCAAAATCCTGTGGGTAGCCATGTGTCGAACTTCGGTCTGCCGGTAGGATGGGTGGCCAAACTAAGAACATTTTCGTAGAAGTTTCCAGATGGGTGTGTGTTGTTTTGCAGACTTGTGAGTTGAGGGAAGGTTCAACTTAGTAGCAAAAAAGACCTTTCGACGACGAGATTGACCAGAAGATCGATTAGTCACATCTTACGAATGACGAGTCGTTTAAAGTGGTTTATGAAGTCGGCGCTTGCGAATAGACGAGTCACCACCTCGGCTTTAAAGTTTGGGATTCCTGTTCGCAGACAGAAACTTTCAAATCCTTTGCAACTCACAAAACTCGCAAGGGGTCTATTTGTCTGTTTTTCAGGAGACGTTGGTGGGACAGGTGATACATCATTTCTTGAATCGGTCACTATTCCCATAATGGTTGACGTATCATAAGGAAAGAAGTGCCCACTGGCGATTGTTGTCAATGCTATCGGATGTCATATTTTCCGAGACATTTTGCTCGTGCGTGAAGTTGACTAAGTCCAAAGGTTTCGCACAGGTGTGTGGCCCTTTCCAATGTTTATTGGTGCCATCATGCGTCCAAAGAAATAAGGTGTGTAAAGCACCAGACACGAAACTCAATGCATTCTTCGGCAGATATATGGTTTACGTCTTACACCCTGAACCGCTGGAAGTTTAAAATCACGCAAATTTACCTATTCGTTTAGAGGTGTTGAAATTCGTGCCCCCGAGATTCTCATATACTTTAGTACCTTGAAATGTTGTTCATTGTCGTTTACAGAGTGATATTGCCGTTTGGGAGATATGTTGCAATGTCAGCCTTAATGGAGTAAACACTTCAGTTGAAGTCGACGTAGTTAACTTTGGATTTTTCATTGTATGAGTTTGAAAAATTTAACTCGCCTTACTAATTGGCGTATTTATCCTAATAATTTACGTGGTCCAAGGCGTGATTATAAGATGTGAATGTTTCGTAATTACTTATTTTGTCGCAAAAAGTATATTGCCTTGAACAGGCATGAATTAAACCTTGATATATCTTAAATAAATAGGTCTTCAGAAATGTTCAAAATATTAAAGTGCCACAAATATTTTAATCAAGAAAAAAGAGAATTTTTTATTTTGCGCTTAATGTCATAAAGATATTTGCAAGTTATTTTTAGAATTTGTCGTGAACACATACAGGCACACTAATTTTGCACAACTCTACCTAAAAATGTTAGGGATGCTAAACCTATCACGTTTGTTTTAATTCGTGATCTTGCTTGTGGTAACATTGGTAAATGGGGAGTGAGTTAGGTAATTAAAATGTATTAATCCAATTTATACGCACTTAGTCTTCGTGGTAAAATTAAGTATAGGATTTCATGGACTTAAAGCCAGTGAACAGTAATACATAATTTCGTCTTTCTCAACTGGCTTTTCCAAATCAATAATCTTGGACAGTTTAAAGCTTAATTATTATCTGTATGACAGTCGAAAATTTATATACTGCCAAATAGTGATTTACTAGCTTATGCCATTTTTCACCTTATCAAAACCAAAAAGAAATAGGAGGAACTTAAAAAGTGCTTTTGTGGAGATCGTTACCGCAAACTAATTACGCTGAATTTAAAGACACATTTGTACTTATAAATGACTACCTGATTCGTAAAAAAAACAGTGTCCTACAAATTGCAAAATATTTTTTTGGAAAAAAAAATATCGGGTTAATTCAGAAATTAAATGTTTCCTTTAATGCAAGATACTGTGTAGCCGAAATACTCGTGGTTTTAACACACCAAACCCTTTTTGCAAGGTCAACTTGGCAGTAGTACTTTGATGCTTTTCTTATTTGCTACTTTCTCGACATGTTGCGGACTTGTCTTAATGTCACGCTTGTAAATGGTATTCGGGGGTTCGTTGTTGTCTCATTAACAAAATTTCTAGAATTACAATGCCACCGTACCGCGTACCGAAAGATGTGGAATCCCGCTTGGAATCGGTTGCTAGACGTTGCCTTTTGAAATTCAAAAACTTGAGCGAACCTTATAAGTTTCCAGATCGTGGCTCTAAAGTTAAGGTAGGATTTTATTGACTGACGTATTGTTAGTGTAGTTCCTAAAAGCTTGTATGCAAGAATTCAATCACGCGATTCCCTCTAACGTGTTACACGAACTCGATGACGTCGATTCAGTCAGAAAATATTTTTCTGTGAATGTGGAACCAGAAGACAAATTAGTTGCAATGCTAGATGATCACTTTGCTGCGAATAGCCTACCATCGAACCTAGTTATTCAAGTCGACTCAATCCGCTGCGACCCGGAGGACAAGTCCTTCTTTTCGACTACTCCATTCCCTGGTCGGTCTACGATCGTGAGTGGCCTGAGTTCGAGTAAAAAATATCCCTCACGAAAAGTGTCAAAAGATAGGCGTCTGTGGATCGATGCTGAAGACATTGCATGAGCTCATGTTAAATATTTGTCTTTGTAGCCCTATGCTATTGGGCTCCTGCTGCTTTCTGAATAAGAGGGGAATTTCAGAACTATTGGAAGAATGTCGGTTTAATATAAATTTTGCTTCTCATCAATCAGCATTGTAATAATATAGGCTACCGGTATTTCAGCGCTAGGTAATGATGTAAATCGTTCAAATTTAGACGCCAGAAACTGTCAGTCTTCTCACGTTAAATGTGCGCATAGTGCACACTGTTGAATTTAGTCCTGAATGGGATACACTACCCTTGGCGACTGCACCAACAATTTTTGGGAGAATATAGCCTGCTTCACTGTTCGAATGTGCTTATCTGCAGTTATCCGACTACAAATTATGTGAAGAACAATCACGTGAGATCACCAAGTCAGGTTGATTTTTGGTCAGGGCAGCTCACATTGCAATGAGTGAAGTGACCGACCTACCCTCGGTCTTCCAAGCGGACGCCGTCAGTGTAATTTTCGGAATAGACTGATTCCAGTCGGCATTTACCTAATCTACAATAACGTGATACCTCGTACGGTGATGAACCTCACTTATCAAGCTTCTTGCCAGTGCTCGTGTGCATCTTCATGTAGCGCAAAACCCCGCCATTACGATCACTACATAACGACTGGCACATCCCAACTTCCATTCAATATAAACCGCACCACGGCATGACGGGTGCCGTAACTTCTTGCGCTACAAAGACGCAATCTCTCAAAGTCATCTATTAGGATTAACTGGAGGCATTTAAAAAAACCATCAATGTTTCGAGCTCAATATTATGACAAATCAATGTGCTGCCTTGTTGAGGACGGCTGCCAATCGATCGATGTCATCCATGCTCAGAGAATCCAATATCCTTGAGAGGAGCTGCAATGAGAATTAGGGATATACTTACATTGAAATCCGGAACCTCAGTCTCATAATAGTTGTCTAGCAACAGAGGGTTAGGTTATTCAAGATCCATATTACCGCGAAAGAAAGTATGGTAACCTTTTGTGCAAGAGCCAACTATTCGACAAAGGACAATAAAGAAGCAACGTTCGTTTCGAAAGGAAGCATTTGTTCTAAAACGCTTATAAAGACTTGATCGACTACGAAGATGCAGTATAACATAAGAGTTATTTAGTTGGGATTATGGAGGAAGGGTGATACTTTAGGGTTTGGTCTACCAATAACAATGGTGCAAGAAAAAGGCTAAAAAGTTCTAGAATATTATGACATGAGAACTGATTGAGGAATTGATAAACACAAGTTAACAAATGCGTGAGGACAGCATGAAGCAAAAGCCAGTAGAATCGTGACAAAGATGGCAGGCCAATTTCTCCTTACCTTCATAAACTTCGAGGTTATTGCCTGGGCGTCGGTCTGGCAATAGGCGGTCTGCAAATACTTCTGAAGTATCTGTTCAAAGTTAGTAGGTACTTGCTGTTTTACGATGACAACCACACGATCTCCCGCTTTAATTCCATAATCCTTGAGGGTTCGGCCCTTATCTTTAAAATTAGAAAAACCAAACAACAAACCGCTTAGGGGAATTCCTTTAAATATCAGTGATATGAGTTCACGATCAACTCCATATTCAGAAGAAATACGGGGTAGTAAGTCAGAAACCGTTGTGTTTTCTGTTACCTAACTAAGTAGATAACAAATACTAGGAGCATACATTCAGTTTTTTGGCTGGCTGACCAAGCCTCTTAAAGGAAACTTCCATACAGACCAATGTCTAAAGCAAAATCCTGGCAAGCGAATCAGATCAGCCACAGCCGACCGCTAACACAGCTCACTGCTAGTAATTAACTTAAACAAACTTTTCCTGAATAGATTAAACTGAGATCTTTGAGATAAAATATAGCTAGAGACACCTTTATTTTGCTGCCTACGACGAAATATTTCTTTAAAATAAGTTCAGATGACCGATGCTTATGCTACGATTACTATACATCCAATTTATTGAAAATTTTTCTGATGCCACGGTGGTATTCTTGTAATCAAATATTCCAAGCAGCTATTTACATATATTGAATTACTTTATGACAAAGGTTAGTATGGTAAAATTTATTTTAGATCGAAAGAGACCGAAGATATTATGATATTATCTCAAATGCACTAATTTTAAGCCTCGCAATTTCCTTTCACTTACGTAACCTGAAAAACGCTAGAATCAAATATGCTTTTGAAAAAGCAAATATCCTCTATTCTAGATGCGTATGCATTTATTTTGCAACACTGGCTGAGGTACGCTTACACATGAATTGTTTCTTCACCAGAATGTTTATTACTACAAGGGCGACATATTCATGAATCATTTTTTGAAATTTATTAAAAAAGCACATCCTCAGGATATTTTTGCATTTAATTAGCGATTATGTCAATTAATAGTCTTTTAGCCAATGCATTTAATAATCAATTTGTATTTGTGCACATGCACATAAGCACTCTTCGTGCCTTCTAGTGAGTTTTGTGGTGGCACACGATCACTGTCCACTGCATTATTCTTACACGTATTTTCAAAAACGTCGATTTGCGGTAAATTATCGAGGGATTAGAAACTAAATAGTGCAAGTGGTTTATTTTATAATATATGCGATTTTGCTATTTTAATATTTTTGTGACATGCTTCAACGAAACGGCAATTTTTCAGTATTCTGCGTTCCACAAACTGACCGACATTAGTTGTAAAAATCCCCTTGTGAAATTAAGCAGATCCTAAAACAGCTTCCTTCTTAAAGCTAATACCGGTTATTGTTCAATTTACACCACAGTCATGTTTGCACGCATTGAGTCCACAATGATTGCACATCGGAATCTATCGCCTAATGTCATTTATGACGTACACAAGCCGAAGTAGTTTGATATGGCATTGGAAATTTGTCTAAGATCATATGTTTTTTTCCTTGCTCTGGGACGTGAAATTTGTGTGCTGGTTCCTTGGATCAAATTTTGGTTATAAACAGACTGCTATCATCTAAGCCAAATGATTAAGGGAAAACAACTGGAAAGGGGTCCATTTTATAATTGACTCTTTAGAAAGTTCCCAAACATTGGCTCGCTCCCTTTTACCATTAAGCACTTCATTTAACTGTGTGGGATAATGCTAGCATACGGTTTTGCATTAAATATGGAAACAGCCCGTTAAAGTTCTTCTCAACCATTTATGAATACTTCGAACTTGCAAGAGACTGAAGAAGATAGAAGTAAAAATAAAAATAAATCTGTTTCACAAATTTTTTCGCATATAAGTTAAATCCAATATAATTTCTAATTAAGCTTTTTGAAAGCTCTGAACTAATTCAAAATTTCATTTAATTTTTTAAGGTAGGCTGTAACTTCTGACGCTTGTAAGGCTCACTTTAGGATCATTTTTTTCATAAAAAGTAAAGAAAAACAAATTTTGCTAAATGATAGCTCCAACCATCACTGGTCTGACTGCGCAGGAATGGCATGTAGGCGCATAGAGTTTCCAAAAATATGTGTTGGAGAAAAGAATCTCCATTGAAACGGTGGTACATTGTCCAATTTTACTTTAATGCGTCTCGTATTGTATTAAAGCTTGATTATTTAAATCCAATAAGTTTCTCTCTTTAGGATCAGATCCTCTGGCCCATCTACTCAGTGTCCCCCGAAATCAAGCTGACGCATTCCCTTACACACTTTGTGTATATACCTATCCTGACATCCATATCACTGATCAGACCATTCAGTCTCGTGTACATTTACTTAATTCCCCAATCTGTATTTGTCAATACCTTACTGCATCATGCTGTATTGCTATCACATGAAATATCGTTACGCGTACTTGGCTTCCGGTTATTAACTTTAATTTATTATCTAATATGATTTTTATTAACACTAACTCATTACAACCAAATGCCTTCCACATGCTCTGATGATTTTATATAATGTTTGATATTAACAATGCGGACATTAACATTAGCCTGAAAGTGGCTTGGACCATCAATCGGTTTTGACGGCACCCTTTTAAAGCCCCGAGTCTGGTAGTGCTTAAAAGAGAAGTGAGGTGAATCTTCAAATCCACAAGTCGAGCGGAACTGGGGGTCGCTTTATATTTGCATTGGATGGTAGTATACGTTGTGCTTAGTGAACAATGACGGCATGTGTGTGAATAAACTCTAAGATTTCGTCACCAATTTTCACCAGTCGTCTTGAAATTTTTTTTCAGTTTTACTGGACATCACACAATGTAAATACAAAGATGTAAAATTGCTTAGAGTATCCGCTTACATATTTAAAAAGCTAAGATATCTCTGTTGTTTTCTATTTATGCTGTTGGCTGCTATTTAAAACAAGGCATGCACTGTTTAGCCACAATCTTCACACTACTAAAAGGCAAATTTACTGTGAAACTTAGAGACTTCTGGTTTCTTCAATGTATATTTTCTCAACACAACGTTTAAATTACATTATTTTATTTTATGACTCCAAGCAATTTCTGTTCACAAATCATTAAAAGTTTAATTCTTTAATGCATTTAAGTGATACTATTGATGAATCAACAATTAGAAAAGGGTTTGTATACTTTTAACTGAATTGAACTTTCATTACAACTCCTATAAACTTGGTCAGTGGTAGTTAAAATCGAATAAAGATAAACAAATACAAGTGCGTAATGTGTGCAGTTTTGTCAAGTAATTGTAACTCTCATCCAAAACTGCTAGATACTTTTTAGTTAATTTATTTCTGTATTTAACTTTCAACACTTTATTCACTACTTTCAATTACTTGTTTTTGTATCTATACTGCAATACCTTAAAAAAATGTAGATTCTCTTCTGGTAATTAATTAGATATTTGACCTCAATCCTTTAAAGCTATACCATATTTTTTTTTGCTACAAAGGTAACAAATACGGATGCACCACAGTCAACGCATAGTAAATACTAGAATAAGACTTGATTGATTATGCAACGGATCACGTTGATTCACGTCCATTAAATCGGTCGACGCACACTGTTTCGTTAGATTTAC